TAATAAATAATCGACGTTCGCATGTGCCAATGCTCGCTTTCAATAATCATGGGCTCAACATACCAAATAACACCTGTTCCTTTCGTAGGTCGTACACGTAACTACTCGTTTTCAACGAACGAACAGACTTGTTCGTGAATAGTGGAACAAGGATAGTCACAAGTCGTTTACGCTTTGTCCCGTTCGGCTAAGATTAAATCTCGTTTCCTCCCTCAATGATGATGCTTTCTCAAACTTATACAACTGACGGTGGCTATGTGCTTAATTCAGTCAAATGATCATTTCAACTCTTCATTTCTCAAACCATCGATCATTATTAACAATTATCATAGCTATTAAATATTACGAAATATCATAAAAAAAATACAGTAAATAAGATCGGTTTGACTTCAACACAGTGGGAGAATGCTCTTCTATTGTTAGAATTAACCGTACGATTCGTGTTTCAGATACATTTGCGACCAAAGACGAAGGCTGAGTCTGTTGTTGTTTCAATGTTTTGTACGTTTGTTTGTGTTATAGCCGTGCGAGCGGACCGAATGAGAGGCGGTAGGAACAAATTCGGACCTATGTACAAAAGAGACCGAGCGCGAAAACTGCAAATGATGAGACAACGGCAGCTGGCACTGCAAACGATACGCGGCAGCCTCGGTGACCCATCGAACTATCCTTCCGCTGTAACGCCTTTCCTGCATATTAAACAGGAAATACAAATACCTCAGGTCTCGAGTCTAACGTCTTCTCCAGATTCGAGTCCATCCCCCGCAGCCGTGGCCGCTGGTCTGGTCACGACACAAGCTGGCAGCGGAGCTGGTCAGCATCAACTGATCGCACCGTCCTCCCAGCCAAACATTTCTGGCGGTAATCACCTGCACAACCTCAACCCTGGCCTGGATAGTAAGCTATGGGCTGCCAATTCCACTACCCCTAGCCCGAAGGCCTTCAACTTCGGCGAACAGTCCACGCAACCTCACGGAGGAGCCGCTGGTTCCGCACCCTCTACCGCCACGTTGAAAACTAGTCCGATGATAAGAGACTTCGTTCAAACGGTCGACGATCGCGAGTGGCAGGCATCGCTTTTTGGACTGTTGCAAAATCAAACGTACAATCAGTGTGAAGTGGACTTGTTCGAATTAATGTGCAAAGTGCTCGATCAGAATCTGTTCTCGCAGGTGGACTGGGCAAGAAATTCGGTATTCTTCAAAGATCTCAAGGTTGGTGACAATGTTTCATTATCTCGGCTTAGTCGCACTGAGTCGTTCAGAAACCAAGCAGAATTCCCATCTCTTGTATATCTCGGTTGAATTTCTGTTTTCGTGGGAGAAACAATTTTGCGGAGTTTAAAGTAGTGAAAAATTAGGCTTGGATGCGAACGACCTAATTTACTTACAGGAGCAGGAGGGAGCAGGAGGGAGCAGGGGGATTGAATATATGTCATATTTAACGTGCATGCATATAACGCTGTATCATGTAAATAGGCATATCTAGAGAACTTCACTCGTTTGAACTTGTATTGAGACGAAATTTGATTAACTCAACTATTGAACTAACATATGAGCATGATCCTTCATTTATTTAAGCAAGAAATGTAGCGAGAAGAACTAGTAAACTTCCATATATAATCAGCCATATAAATTTCAATTATAATATATTAATTATAATGTATTTGTCCTCCAATGGAGTGGCGTTGCGTCAGGATGTATCTTCTTTCGATCGGTATGAATTTGGCTGGCTTCTGTCTATGAATTATTTAAATATTGTCTATTTTCTCGCGTAAGTTACATCAACTCATAATGGTGCTACAGACAAACGTAAACGAGTCTTTAGACGATATAAAAATTCAAAAATTTTAATCATGATAGCTGAGAATCTTTTTCAAGAGAAGTTAGTTCTTACCGATAAATAACTCCTCGCTGGCCTGTTGGTGGTGGTATGAGCGGGGATGTGAGGTAACCAACAGCATTGCACAATCACTGAATGATTTCAAGCATCGCCTCATATCTAGGTCATAACAAGATACGTTTCTGGGTTATGGCGGTTGCCCTAAAGCAGGCCCATGTTAATTATAAATCGTTTACTTAACCGATTATATAGTTTTTATTGTGTTATTGTCTTTGGAAATCTGTAAAATGTTCTGTCATCATTTTGTCCAATAGCTTAAACCATGCTTTTATATTTTACGAACAATATGGAGCCCAAGTACGAAGATTTAATCGCTTATTAAACAGCATTTCGTAAGATATAACATAATTTTTCTTTTATACTTTTCCTGATATTATTTACATTTCGAAATTCAAATTTTTCAAATGCATCTCTCCATTTTTCAAAATCCACAATATTTCGATGGAATTTATTACATATCGCTGTTGCAAATGAATTTATTCAAAAGATAGTAAAATTTTTCGATATAATTCGATCAAATTTTATATGTGTTTTTACAATTTGTGACGTTCTTTTGGACAGGTTGATGACCAAATGAAGTTGCTACAGCACTCCTGGTCGGATATGTTGGTGCTTGACCATCTTCATCAAAGGTTACACAATAATCTACCTGATGAGACTACACTTCATAATGGCCAAAAGTTCGATCTCCTTTGCCTCGGCCTACTTGGAGTTCCTTCCTTGGCAGACCTATTCAATGATTTGTCGTCCAAACTTCAGGAACTTAAATTTGATCTTTCAGATTATATATGCATGAAATTCTTGATGCTGCTCAATCATGGTACATTTTCTTTTTTTCCTCTAGATTTCTTTTACATTGTAAATATTTCATTGTCGGATGATATTGTCATTAATACGTTAATTTCGTTCCAATATGCAGAAGTTCGTGGATTAGTTAATAAAAAACATGTTCAAGAAGGTCATGAACAAGTCCAACAAGCTCTTTTGGATTACACATTGACATGTTATCCTTCTATACCGGTATGTTTATCTCATATGTAAATAAATAAAATCTTTCTTTTTTCCTTTAATTCAACAATTCCTGAACTGTTCAATACAAATGGAATTTTATATAAATAGGATAAATTTAACAAGCTGCTAGCAGTATTACCAGGAATCCATGTAGTAGCGAGCAGGGGCGAAGATCACCTTTATCAGAAGCATTGTAGCGGTGGAGCACCAACTCAAACCCTTTTAATGGAAATGCTTCATGCTAAGAGAAAATGAAACGATACATTCGTTTGGCACTTTTGCCATGAGTTAGTCTATTGCTGTATGTCAAAAATCAAGATAGAGCCCCTTATTGTCAGAGTGGACCTCAAGTACCTATTAAGAACTAATACTGCACAGGTATTGGACCAAGTTAAGGGGCTCTGGTTCAAAAAATACCTATGCAGACAAATCAAGTATAGACGTACATACTTTACATATATACATAATATATGTATTATAAAGTGTATCTAAATATATAAACATAATGATATATTTTCTATATTTGATGTTGAAGTTTTAGAGATGTATCCACGAAAAAAATTATTACCCATGTTGGTGGGTATAAGCGCAGGGAAACAGTAAGCAAGATGCCTTGAAAACAGTACAAAGGGTGGTTAAAAAAATATTGGTCAAAGGGCAGGCACTTTTTGTCTAAATAAGTAAAGCTATTTTTCTAATACTAGAAGCGATTATTTTTAAGCGATTATACCACTGAAGCCTTGCTCTCATTTTAACAAAAAGATAATCCTAATAATAACGAACGAAAGAAATTGTATCGACTCTCCAGTCAATCGTGCTTCTGCAAGGGATTCAATGGGCATACTTGAACGACAGTAAAATTTCATGTGATATACTTATATATACATATATACATATATGTCGCACGGCCACCTGGGCATCCTTAGAACTTCCTATGAAAAATCTGCATTTTGTCACACTTGCACACAGCAGGGCTACTATATTGTAAATACTAGTTAACACATTCCAATTATGTTGTAAAGTATGAATCATGTTAAATATGTAATTATAATATTTTGTGTATAGTTTAATGAAATAAATATATTTCTGTTGCTTACTGAGAAAAAAATCATTAGCTACTTAATGTCTTCACTAATTTTAGAGTTTTATTCATGTATTTCTCTTTATTATTTTTCAAATAGGTGGCGGAAAAAAGAATAACCACAAATTGCGATATTTTATTATTGTATATTGTATCATAATAAAGATTCTGTTTAAGAAATAAAAGAATCATTGGAGCAAGGTTTATGTGGTCCTACATTATCTAGCGATTAATACTAAGTACATAAGATCAATATTGTCTTATCGCAGTTGTTAAATAGATAAATATTTACTGAATGTTAAGATAGCGATCGAACGTAGTAATTTTTCACTAATAGATTATTATTGTTTAGTCAATAGTCAGAAACTTTTCAGTGCTGTGAAGGTTGTCTTTTCGACGCCTGTGGTATCTAAGCCATCGGTAATTACACGTGCTAGATTCGAGGCTCAAGTGTGACAACAAGAACAGAAATCTTTGCTCGTACTGGTAGGCTGGTAGTACCACCCTTTGCAACTCCTACTGTTTATATCCTCTATCAAAGAAGTACCTGGGAAAAATGCTATTTTACTACTTTCACTTTTCCACCGACTTCGATATAAGATATTAAATATAGATTTAAACGATTTGTTGATGTATGTAAAAAGATAACTCGATGCCACATTAGATTAAGAATCGAGTGTTGAATCAAATCAGGAGGAGTAGCTGCGAGTATTACTACCATGAAAGAATATATATATATATATATATATATATATTCGAAAGCTTGCATGTACTTATCGTGTGAGTAAAGATTTGTGTCCATGCAAAAATGCAAAACATATATTAACATGTTCCCAAATTTTCAAATCGCCTGGTTCTTTTAATTAATTGCTCGAAAAGGAAACCGGTTTGCAACATTATTGGCTCTTTAAATAATGCCTTCAAAACGAATTACCTTTATTTAACTCGCATATAAATGTCTACCTCTTCATAACTGTATTAAGTCTTACATTTTTACATTTTTAGTAAACCACATACCTCAGAATAGACACCCAGATAGCAAATTAAATGGAATGTATGAATGTTACCTACGTAGATTTAAAGTCTATGACTTCTGTAATATGCGTATCGACAGAATATAAAAGTTCCATTCAAGTATTGTACCCGTTATATTTCCACGTTAACTACTTTTGTTATTATTATATTTATTCCAAATTAGATTATACTTTTTTATGATATATATGTTACTACATATTCGATTCGAAATTATTTAATTATCAATGAAGTCTCTAAAATCACGTTTAACTTTATGTTGCTGTTTGGGTAAAATCAAATAATGTTTTATTTATTGTACATTCATTTATTTTCAAGACTTCTTGTAGAACGTGTCGGTCTGATAATTTTGGAACAATTTACAAAAATCGTAAACACAACTGTCTCAAAAAATGAAAATTGTCTTTTCTCAATATGTCCCTAAATCGATCATCTTTGTATGTGTCCATCCTATTTAATCGTCCGCTCGATTCTGTTATAGTGTTTATTAATAATTGTAATTAGGAAATATAATAGTGGTGTTATAAGCATTGTGTTAAATATGTACAGTTACCAATTATTGGCAAACAATCTAATTTAATATCGATGTGATTTTTTGACCCAATAAATAATTGGAATTAACATTAAATGATGAACTATTATGCGTTGTTAACACTGCCATTAGGAGTTGGCAATTGTAAATTATGTAGAAAAAAAATGATTGATTGTAAATATATCTTTATTATTAACTGACAACTGTTCCTTTTAGGATTGACAGCGCTATTTTTATATATTATACTAATTGAACTCCTATTAAATGATAATATTTCCCTTATTGCACTCCTGTCTTTGGTATTATTATAAAAATACGTGTAATGACCACGGAACGTACGATACTTTTCAAAAGGAGAGTAAAGGATGGTACTATAGAAATTATTAAGCAGACGATTTTCAAAAATTTACAAATAGTATTTCAAAACATTCAATTGTTTCTTTATACATACAAGTTATTATAATTTAAATGCGTTTATGTACAATACAAAGTTTATTATAATTTGTAACAATAGTGTCATTCGTATATTGAATAACATGTACAACATGTTAAAACATTTGTTTGCTTTGTACAAATATGGTAACAAGATAAGAAAATGCACAGTGGTTAATAAAGACATCAGCTAACTACTGCACGTAGCTTCATATTCTTAATTTACATGTTATATATTACATTACATATACTTTATTAAACATATTGCCTAATTTTATGTACAAAATTGCGCCTTATCAAGATTTACAACAATTTATTTTTTTATATTTGCAAAGATACAATATATTAACTAAGATTTGTTTTCATGAAGGCCTTCATATGTAATTAAAGAATCAATTGTAAAGTGTATTTATTTTACATTTGACTAATATAATATGATATTCAATACTAATATCAGATCATGCATGATTGTCACAAGATTTAAAATAAATAAGAATAATCATTTTTTTTCTCTAATGACACAATTAGATATGATCAAAATTAAATTGTTACTAACTAATTTTATACATGTTAAGAACATGATACGTTTATGCTGGATCAGATTTTAAAAACTCATTATATGCTTCTTCATTCATTAGACCTTTTAATTCATCAAATTTATTTAATTCTACTTTGAACAACCATCCTTTTTCGTAACAAGAAGTATTTATTAAACTAGGTTTTTTTTCAACTTCTTCATTCTTTTCTATTACTTTCCCACTGACGGGACTATACAATTCAGAGGCAGCTTTTACTGACTCTAAAGCTCCACATTCAGCTATAAAAAAAATTCATTTAATTTTTATTTTATGAGAAACAACCAAGATATGAGTGCTCTCACCTTCTTTCTCTATTTCAGATCCAACATCTGGAAGTTGAGCATAAACAACATCACCCAATGCTTCTTGTGCATAATTGGATATTCCAATTATACCTATGTTACCTTCAATTGTTATCCATTCATGTTTTTCCGTATAAAATCTTTCTAAAAATTTTATTTATAATTTTTAAAATTAAAAAAAAAGTCGAAAATGTTTTCTAATAGAAAACAATATATTGAATACATCATATTTGCTAAAATGATTTTACTTTGTTGAAAATAAATAACTGTTTAAAAACAATTGTTTTCAAGTATTATAAATGACTAACATTATAATTACAAGTATAATTTTTCAGAAATTGAGAAAAACATCTGTATGATATAACACTTCTTTCGCATTATTGTATCGATTAATAAAAATTAATAAATATTCTATTAACAGCGTAAAAATCTTGATTCTGAATATATTACTATAAATATGTAATTTTTCTATTAAACATTTAAATGATATACTTACCGGCATTTAAAGAACGACTGCTGGCGATGGAACGTGAAAAACATAACGACACTTTTGGAGCAGAAAAATTAAATAAACTTTCTTTCGAGGTGCACGAGAACGTTCTCGCAGTATATTTTGTTATTTGTACAATTACTTTCGCCATGTTAAGTTATGTTTTTTAATTTTAAAACAGTCAGAAAACTTTAACCTAAGAAATACGTGCCGTGTGCAATACGTTTTTCACTAATTTTTTTAGTTTCTCCGCAATGTCGGCAGAATTTCATACGAACGAAACGCCGATTTTTAACGAATTAATGTATTTCTATAAAGTAACATGTATTTCTAGATTACGGCAATTCTTATCGCGTACACAGACGAGATATATGAACTTCTTGTCTAGGTCGCGTAATACCATTAACTATAGTATAGACTGGACATTAAATGAGCTTTCGTGTCTAAGGGTCTGAAATACCGATCAAGAACAAAATCACTAGTTGTTTGGCGCATCCTATGTTTAAATACAGATGAGGTATATGAGTTCATCAAGCGTAGAGTGCGCTTAGTGATTTTTTCTGGTCGGTATTTCAGATTTTGAGACACGAAGTTCCATTCCACGTCTGGTCTATCTTATCTTTAGTCCATGATAATACCAGAGACGAGATATGTGTAGTAGTAATACATACGTTTCATCATAATTCAAATCGCTGACAAACAAATAACGTAAACATATGTATGCTCAATAAATAAATTATATACATAATAAGTAATA